TTCCCAGGAAGCCTCTGGAAGGGCTGGCACACAGCAGAGGGCACAGCATGTGCAATGGCACCGGGGCCCGGTCTTTGCAAAAACAAAAACATTGCCCTGCCCCGTTTGGCTCAGCGGATAGAGCGTCAGCCTGCGGATTGAAGGGTCCCGGGTTCGATTCCGGTCAAGGGCATGTACCTGGGTTGCGGGCACATCCCCAGTTGGGGGCTGTGCAGGAGGCAGCTGATCCATGTTTCTCTCTCATCCATGTTTCTAGCTCTCTATCCCTCTCCCTTCCTCTCTATAAAAAAATCAATAAAATATATATTTTATTTTTTTATTATTATTTTTAAAAATATATTTTATTGATTTTTTTACAGAGAGGAAGGGAGAGAGATAGAGCTAGAAATGTCGATGAGAGAGAAACATCGACCAGCTGCCTCTTGCACACCCCCCTTCGGGGATGTGCCCACAACCAACGTACATGCCCTTGACCGGAATTGAACCTGGGACCTTTCAGTCTGCAGACCGACGCTCTATCCACTGAGCCAAACCGGTTTCGGCTAAAATATATATTTTTTTAAAAAAAAGAAAGGAAAAGGGGTTGGAGGGAGGGTCCAAGGTAGGGCAGCCAGGGAAGTGTGGGGATGGAAGCTTCGAGGGTTCGCCCTCTCCCTCGGCCCTCTTCCCCCCCCCCCCCCCCATCACACACTTTGCGGACCCGCTGCCCTCCTGGAACTGGGCTGCAGTCTGACGGGGAAGGTGGTCCAACACTGCCCCTATGTGGCGACTCCGGGTATTGCAGCCAAGGCTCCCATCAGAAAGACTGTCCGAACCAGGAGGCAAGTACCGAGCCTGCAGAACCTGGGCCCGAAGGGCGGGCGGCCCCGGCCCTCAGGGCGGCGGAACTATGATTCCAGCCCCCAACCGGGACGCGCTGGTCCTTTCCCCGGAAGCCCAGCGTGTCCGGTCATCCCCTGGAGAGGCCGCCCGCTCCATCTCCAGTTCTTTCCTCTCCTCCGTGCTCCTGCACCCAAAGGTGGAGTGCCGTCTCCCTCTCTGAACAGACTCCTACTCACCCCTCAGCACCCAGCTCAAATTCTGGGTCCCTATCCTCAGATCTGAGAATGTGGGCCCCCAGCCCTCCTCCCTCAGACCCAGGAGCCCAGGCCCTCCTCCCTCAGACCCAAGCCCTCAGGCCCCCAGCCCCTCCTCCCTCAGACCCAGAAGTCCAGGCCCCCAGCCCCTCCTCCCTCAGACCCAGGCCCCCAGCCCCTCCTCCCTCAGACCCAGGAGTCCAGGCCCCTAGCCCTTCCGCCCTCAGACCCAGGCCCCCAGCCCCTCCTCCCTCAGACCCAAGCCCTCAGGCCCCCAGCCCCTCCTCCCTCAGACCCAGAAGTCCAGGCCCCCAGCCCCTCCTCCCTCAGACCCAGGCGCCCAGCCCCTCCTCCCTCAGACCCAGGAGCCCAGGCCCCCAGCCCCTTCTCCCTCAGACCCAGGGGTCCAGGTCCCCAGCCCCTCCTCCCTCACACCCAGCCCCTCCTCCCTCAGACACAGGAGTCCATGTCCCCAGCCCCTCCTCCCTCAGACCCAGGAATCCAGGCCCCCAGCCCCTCCTCCCTCAGACCCAAGGGTCCAGGCCCCCAGCCCCTCCTCCCTCAGACCCAGGAATCCAGGCCCCCAGCCCCTCCTCCCTCAGACCCAAGGGTCCAGGCCCCCAGCCCCTCCTCCCTCAGACCCAGGAATCCAGGCCCCCAGTCCCTCCTCCCTCAGACCCAAGGGTCCAGGCCCCCAGCCCCTCCTCCCTCAGACCCAGGAATCCAGGCCCCCAGTCCCTCCTCCCTCAGACTCAGGAGTCCAGGCCCCCAGCCCCTCCTCCCTCAGACCCAGGGGTCCAGGCTCCCAGTCCCTCCTCCCTCAGACTCAGGAGTCCAGGCCCCCAGCCCCTCCTCCCTCAGACCCAGGAGTCCATGTCCCCAGTCCCTCCTCCCTCAGACCCAGGGGTCCAGGCCCCCATCCCCTCCTCCCTCAGACCCAGGGGTCCATGTCCCCAGCCCCTCCTCCCTCAGACCCAGGGGTCCATGTCCCCAGTCCCTCCTCCCTCAGACCCAGGGGTCCAGGCCCCCAACCCCTCCTCCCTCAGACACAGGAGTCCATGTCCCCAGCCCCTCCTCTCTCAGACCCAGGGGTCCATGTCCCCAGTCCCTCCTCCCTCAGACCCAGGAGCCCAGGCCCCCAGCCCTCCTCCCTCAGACCCAGGGGTCCAGACCCCCAGCCCCTCCTCCCTTAGACCCAGGGGTCCAGGCCCCCAGCCCCTCCTCCCTCAGACCCAGGCCCCCCGCCCCTCCTCCCTCAGACCCAGGGGCCTGGCCCATGGACAGAGCCGCCGAGGTGTTGGCACGGAGCTGGCTGTGCTGACTCAGTCACATTTATTAGGTCTCAGAGGCCAGAGCCTTGGTCGGGCGGAGGCAGGGCTCAGGGATTAAGCTGTCCGTGTCTTCTCTTTCTCAGCGCTGAGCCTAGGAGAGGAGGAGACACAGGCAGGCAGGCAGGGACGTGGCAGAGGGGAGGCGGGCACCCGCGGACAGAGCCGCCCGCCGCCCCCTCCCCCGGTGCTCACCTTGTTGAAGAAGTAGATGGAGGTCAGGATGGTGAACATGGCGATGGCCAGCGTCACGTTCTGTGGGGAGCGGGAGGTCAGGGCCCTGTCCCTCCCGCCCCCCCCCCTTGCCCTCCCCGTCCCACCGGACCCGCCCTCACTTCTTGGAAGTTCATGGCCATGAATCCTCAGGGCAAAGATGCTTGACCTCCCTGTGCGGCTCTTGGGCCTCTGAGGGAGGGGAGGACAGCCAGTCACCAGAACCTCAGAGGGTTGTCTAGGAGACCAGAATGGTGGCCATGGCGATGGGCAAGGGCATTCTGGGTAGAGGGGCCATGGGGGGGGGGCAGAGGTTTGGGGGGGCCAGGAATGTCCTATGGGGGCCCGGCTGGGGTGGCTCAGGGGTTGAGTGTCAACCTATGAACCAGGAGGTGGCGGTTTGATTCCCGGTCAAGGGCCCATGGCCGGGATTGCGGGCTCCATCCCCGGTGTGGGGCGTGCAGGAGGCAGTGGGTCAATGATTCTCTCTCATCATGGATGTTTCTCTCTCTCTATCCCTCTCCCTTCCTCTCTGATATCAAGAAAGTATATTAAAAAGAGAGAGAGAGAGAGAGAGAGAGAGAGAGAGAGAGAGAGAGAGAGAGAGCCGAAACCGGATTGGCTCAGCGGATGGAGCGTCGGTCTGCGGACTGAAAGGTCCCAGGTTCGATTCCGGTCAAGGGCATGTATCTCGGTTGCGGGCACATCCCTAGTAGGGGGCGTGCAGGAGGTAGCAGATCGATGATTCTCTCTCATCGATGTTTCTAACTCTCTGTCCCTCTCCCTTCCTCTCTGTAAAAAAATCAATAAAATATATATTAAGCCAAAACCGGTTTGGCTCAGTGGTAGAGCGTCAGTCTGCGGACTGAAAGGTCCCGGGTTCGATTCCGGTCAGGGGCATGTACGTTGGTTGCGGGCACATCCCCGGTAGGGGGTGTGCAAGAGGCAGTTGGTCGGTGTTTCTCTCTCATCGACGTTTCTAGCTCTCTCTCTCTCCCTTCCTCTCTGTAAAAAGAAGAAATCAATAAAAATATATTAAAAAAATATATATATATATTAAAAAAAATACCTGCCTTCAATGTTCGGGCCGCTGTCCCAGAATACCAATAAAATGTATTAAACAAAACAAAACAAAAAACAAAAACACACAAAGCAATACAGGACGCCGTGTAGTTGTGACTGCCCGAGGCCCTGTCCTCCACGTGGCCTGCGTGCAGAATGCATCGGGATGCGCTTACCCCTCGAGGCAGTGCCCGGAGGAGACGAAGGCACAGAGAGGGGCAGTACCTCGCCCACAGCCACACAGCTCGCAGGTGCTGAGGCTGGGGTTCGAACCCGTCGGTCCAACGCCAGGTGGCTCTGGCCGGCTGTGGGGGATCACCCCGGCCGGCCCTTTCCCGGAAGAAGGCGGAGGGTCTATGGGGAGAACAGACTGGGGTGCGGCCCCTGAGGGCAGAGCAGAGACTGGGCGTTTGGGGGGTGAGGTGCGGGTGGAGGTCTCCTTGCTTGTGAAGGGCCCAGGCTACGGGGCACCTGGGTTCAAGTCCCAGCGCTGCTTGCCACTCAGCTGTACTCCTTCAGTCAGGTTACGTAACCCTCCCGTGCCTCGGTTTCCCCATCTGCACAGCGGGGACGGGGATCATCACAACGGCACCTCCCGGGCTGGCTGTGATAACAACGAAATGGATTAGCCCAAGCTGGTTTGGCTCAGTGGCTAGAGCATTGGCCTGGGGACTGGAGGGTCCCAGGTTCGATTCCGGTCAAGGGCACGTGCCTGGGTTGCAGGCTCGATCCCCAGTAGAGGGCATGCAGGAGGCAGCGGATCAATGATTCTCTCTCATCATTGATGTTTCTATCTTCCTCTCTCTCTCTGAAATCAATAATAGTATCTATCTATCTATCTATCTATATTAAGAAGCAATGCCGAAACTGGTTTGGCTCAGCGGATAGAGTGTCGGCCTGCGGACTGAAAGGTCCCGGGTTCGATTCCGGTCAAGGGCATGTACCTGGGTTGCCGGCACATCCCCAGTGGGGGGCGTGCAAGAGGCAGCTGATCGATGACTCTCTCTCATCGATGTTTCTAACTCTGTATCTCTCTCCCTTCCTCTCTGTGAAAAATCAATAAAATATATTAAACACACACACACACACACACACACACACAAACCCAACCAACCAACCAAACAAAAAACAACAACCATGAAAGGGATCCGTCCAGGGGGCAGCCCGAGGCTGGCCACGGCCGGGGAGCCGGCTGCGGGGGGCGTGCCGGGACCTGCTCCCTGCGGGCGGGCGGCGGGCGGGCGGGCGGGCGGCGGGCCGTAATGGGCAGGTGGGGCTGAGGCGCAGACGGCAGCTGAGCTCAGCGTCTGGCTGTGCGGACATGGCCGGGCCGGGCTTTGGGGGCCACCCCGTCGGACCCCTCCTGCTCCTGCTGCTGCTGCTGCCCCAGGCCCTGGTGGAGGGACCCTTGGTGTTCGTGGCTGTGGTGAGGTGCCCCCCCGCCCCCCCGCCCCCCCGTCCCCCCCCCCGCCCTCCCCCAGGCCGCCCTGACCGCTCCCCTCCCCAGGTGTTCCGCCACGGAGACCGGGCCCCGCTGGCCTCCTACCCCGCCGACCCGCACAAGGAGGCCGTGGCCGCGCTGTGGCCGCGCGGCCTGGGCCAGCTGACCGCGGTGAGGAGCTGGGGGGGCGTGGGCGGCGAGGCCGGCGGCGGGGGCGGGGGGGGTCACTGAGCCTGCTCTGTCCCCAGGAGGGGGTCCGCCAGCAGCTGGAGCTGGGCCGCTTCCTGCGGAGCCGCTATGACGCCTTCCTGAGCCCCGAGTACCGGCGGGAGGAGGTACGGCCTTCGCCTGCCCCCTGACCTCCCACCTCTGACCCCTGCTGCCTCCCATGCTCCCCTGGGGCCTCCGCCTCTGGCCTTCGGTCCCCGTCCACGTGACCTTTGATCCCCGTCCGCGTTCTGACCTCTGATCTTGAAGCATCGACTTCTGACCTCGTCCCAACCTGAGTCACACCTTGACCTCTGACCCCTGACCCCCATCCACTCTAGCTTTGTGTTCTGGCCTTTACCTCTGGTCCTCTCACTCTCACCAACACCAGCCAGACCTGCTGGCCTCCACCCTCTCACTCCAAAACTTGACCGATGCTGTCTTTAACCGTCATTGAGTCAACTTGCCCTCCTGACCTCAGACCTTTGACCTCCACCTCGACCCTTCGCCAAATCTTTTTTTTCCTATCTCCTGACCCCTGACCCCTGACAGACATGAACTGAACTCTGACCCCGTGTCCTCCATCCTGCTCTCCTATTCTTGGCCTCCAGCTTCCAGCCAGTATCCATTCTGATCTTCCATGACTCAGCTGACCCCCTTACTCCTACACACCCACCCAATCCCCGACCTCCAACCCGGCTGCTCCTGCCATTGACCTCTGACCCTTGATCCCAACTCCCAACTCTGAAGTTCAGACATTCACATCTGACCTGATTTTTTAAAAAATATTTTAAATTGATTTTTTTTTTTTTTTTAAATTGATTTTTTACAGAGAGGAAGGGAGAGGGATAGAGAGCTAGAAATATCGATGAGAGAGAAACATCGATCAGCTGCCTCCTGCACACCCCCTACTGGGGATGTGCCCACAACCCAGGTACATGCCCATGACTGGAATCGAACCTGGGACCTTCCAGTCCGCAGGCCGACGCTCTATCCACTGAGCTAAACTGTTTTCGGCCTGACCTGATGGTTTTTTTGTTTTTTTTAAAATATATTTTATTGATTTTGTACAGAGAGGAAGGGAGAGGGATAGAGAGCTAGAAATATCGATGAGAGAGAAACATCGACCAGCTGCCTCCTGCACACCCCCTACCGGAGATGTGCCCGCAACCCAGGTACATGCCCTTGACCGGAATCGAACCTGGGACCTCTCAGTCCGCAGGCCGACGCTCTATCCACTGAGCCACACCGGCTTCGTCCTGACCTAATGTTTTGACTCCTGCCCCCTGTCAACCCCCAAAGCGAATCCAAAGCTTTGTGTCTAACCTCTGACCCCGACTGTGGCCCCCTTGTGACCGCCGCCCCCTCGCCTGCGCGTCCCCCAGGTGTACGTCCGCAGCACGGACTTCGACCGGACGCTGGAGAGCGCTCAGGCCAACCTGGCGGGGCTGTTTCCCGAGGCCGGCCCGGGGCGCCCCGAGGCCGCCTGGAGGCCCGTCCCCGTGCACACCGTGCCGCTCGCCCAGGACAAGGTAGGGGTGGGGCGGGCCCGGGTGGGGAGAGGGAGGCCCCCAGGAGGGGCGGTGCTGGGCTTGGCGGGCGGCTCCTGGGAGCTGGAGTGGAAGCCGCAGGAGCTCAGAGGCAGTTGTCCGGTGGGTGAGCCGTGTCCCCAGGCTGGGCAGCCAGGCCTGGGAGGGACAGGGCCACAGCCCCGACGCCCCCACCCGTCCCCTGCTGCCCTCTCTGAGCCTCAGTTTCCCCCAGCTGCTGAGGTTCCCCACGCGCAGCTGCCCCCGCTACCAGGAGCTGCTGCGGGAGGCCACGGAGGCCGCGGCGTACCGGAGGGCGCTGGAGGGCTGGGCGGTGAGCGGGGCGTGGGCCGGGCGGCGGGAGGAGAGGGGCCGGCGTGGCGGTCCTCCAGCCTCACCAGGCCCGTCCAGCAGGACTTCCTGCCTCACCTGGAGAACTGCACGGGGCTGTCCCTGGTTGGGGAGCCGCTCCGCAGGGCGTGGAAGGTTCTGGACACGCTGATGTGCCAGGTGAGCTCCCACCCCACCCACGCCCCCAGCTTCGCCGCTCAGTGCCCATGCCCCCGCAGGCTGGCCCCGCAGGCCCTGGCGCCTCCGTTTCCCCACGGGCACCGTGGGGCTGGGGGCCCCGAGTGAACCCCTCGGGGTGCTGTGAGGATCAAAACGGGTCAATCCACGCAACGTGCCACACTCGGGTTCAAGGCTACCTGTTGGCAATTCCTCTTTGTGGCTCTATTATCCCCTGGCAGGGTCTGGAGCTCGCTCTCTCTCTCTCTCTCTCTCTCTTTTTAATTTTTTATTTTTAAATATATTTTATTGATTTTGTACAGAGAGGAAATGAGAGAGATAGAGAGTTAGAAACATCGATGAGAGAGAGGCATCGATCAGCTGACTCTTGCACACCCCCCACTGGGGATATGCCCGCAACCAAGGTACATGCCCTTGACCGGAATCGAACCCGGGTCCCTTCAGTCCCCAAGCCAACGCTCTATCCATTGAGCCAAACCGGTCTCGGCTCGCTCGCTCTCTCTCTCTCTCTCTCTCTCTCTCTCTCTCTTTTTTAAATGTATTTTATTGATTTTTTAAAAATATATTTTATTGATTTTTTACAGAGAGGAAGGGAGAGAGATAGAGAGCTAGAAATGTCGACGAGAGAACATCGACCAGCTGCCTCTTGCACATCCCCTACTGGGGATGTGCCAGCAACCTACATACATGCCCTTGACTGGAATCGAACCTGGGACCTTTCAGTCCGCAGACTGACGCTCTACCACTGAGCCAAACCGGTTTCGGCATTTTATTGATTTTTTATAGAGAGGAAGGGGAGAGGGATAGAGAGTTAGAAACATCCACGAGAGAGAAACATCCATCAGCTGCCTCTTGCACAACCCCCCCACTGGGGATGTGCCCGCAACCAAGGTACATGCCCTTGACGGGAATCAAACCTGGGACCTTTCAGTCCGCAGGCCGACGCTCTATCCACTGAGCCACACCGGTTTCGGCGGCCTGATGCTCTTCTTAGGCGTGGCTTCCCCCACTTGCTGGGAATGTTCCCAACCACCCGGTGGGACTAGCAATGTGTGTGATTAGGGGGCTGCCTCAGACCCCCACCCCGGGATGCTAGGAATTTCTGTGAGACTGGCACCATGAGACGGTGCTAAAGTCCCAAATGGCTGAATTCTGAAACACCTCTGGCCCCAGGTCTCAGGTAAAGGCTGCCGGGCTGCGGGGTGATGGCGATTACTAGAAATAATCGCTATTGGCCAAGCCACCACTTCCTGACCTGGCCAGCCAGCCAGCCCCAGGGGGGTTCAGATGGGGGAGGGGGGAGAGAGGATGGCAGGAACAAGCACAGGCCTTGGGAGGGCGAGGGGACACCCGGTCGCGTTGTCCTCTCTCCCTGTCTCTCCCCAGCGAGCCCACGGGCTCCCGCTCCCATCCTGGGCCTCCCCGGATGTCCTGCAGACACTAGCCCAGATCTCCGCCCTGGACATCGGGGCCCACGTGGGCCCACCCCGGGCAGCAGAGAAGGCCCAGCTGACAGGGGGTGAGGTGTGGGGCGAGGGAGGGGGCAGGGGGCGGCCGACCGGGCACCTCCCTCTGGGGGTTCTCAGCACCCTGTCTTGCCCCCTCAGGGATCTTGCTGGACGCCATCCTTGCTAACTTCTCTCGGGTCCAGCGCCTGGGGCTGCCCCTCAAGATGGTGATGTACTCGGCCGTGAGTCTTTGGCAAGGGCGGCAGTGAGGGCCCGGGAAGGGGGGGGGGTGGTCGTTGGGGCGAGGAAGAGCCAGGGGTCTCCACGGAACCTCGGCACTGCCTTGGGTAGCTCACAGCTGCAGACATATCACTAGAGGTATAGCTCCTGGAAGGAAGGAGGGGATGGAGTTCTGAGAAAGGATTCAGCTCTTCTGGGAGGGCAGGCTGTTGAATTGAGCTGTCCGACCATATTGTGCATCCATTTGACCCATTTTTTTTTAATAGTATATTTTAATAGATTAAAAAAATGTATATTTTATTGATTTTTTTACAGAGAGGAAAGGAGAAGGATAGAGAGTTAGAAACATCGATGAGAGAGAAACACCGATCAGCTGCCTCTTGCACACCTCCTACTGGGGATGTGCCCGCAACCCAGGTACATGCCCTTGACCGGAATCGAACCCAGGACCTTTCAGTCCGTAGGCTGACGCTCTATTCACTGAGCCAAACCGGTTTCAGCTATTTTTAGTGATTTTTTTTTACAGAGAGGAAGAGAGAGGGATAGAGTGTTAGAGACATTGATCAGCTGCCTCTTGCACACCTCCTACTGGGGATGTGCCTGCAACCACAGTACATGTCCTTGACCAGAATTGAACCAGGGACCCCTCACTGAACCAAACCGGTTTCAGCAATTAAAAAAAAAAAAAAAATATATATATATATATATTAAAAAATATATTAAAAAATATATAAAAATATATATATAAAATATATATAAAATATATATATAAAATATATATAAAATATATAAAATATATATATAAAAAATATATATATATTTTCAGAGAGGAAGAGGGATAGAAACATCAATGGTGAGAGGGAATCAATGATCGGCTGCCCCCTGCAGGCCCCACACTGGGGATCGAGCCCACAACCTGGGCCTGTGCCCTTGAACCAGAATCCAACCTGGGCCGCGTGGTTCTCAGGTTGACGCTCAACCACGGAGCCACCGGCAGGGCCACTTGGCCAATCTGTGTTTAACGGCCCCCTGTACCGGGTGGGACTGCCTCCAGGGTGAGCAGATTTGGGGGCTGGGGTTCCAAGGGGCCTGGGGGCGTCTGGGAGGCAGGAGGCTAGGGTGCAGGGGGAGGGGTCGCCAGGGGAGGGGGGAGGAGCCAGCTCAGCCCTCACCTGTTGGCAGCACGACAGCACCCTGCTGGCCCTCCAGGGGGCCCTGGGCCTCTACGACGGGCACACCCCGCCCTACGCTGCCTGCCTGGGCTTCGAGTTCCGGAGGCGCCTGGGGGACCCCGAGGAGGACGATGAAGATTCAGGGTGAGGAGGGGGGCACCTGGGAATGGGCGGGCAGAGGACGGCCCAGGCACGGCCTGGAGCTGGAGCCCAGCCCCTCCATTTGCACGCTCTGGTTTAGATTTGGGGTCGGCGGTGGGGGCGGGGAGGAGGAATCTGGCTGCCATGACCCCTCTCTCTGCAGGAATGTCACCGTCTCCCTCTTCTACCGCAACTCCACCGGCCTGCCCCTCGGCCTCAGCCTCCCCGGCTGCCCAGGCCCCTGCCCACTAGGACGCTTCCGCCAGCTGACCGCCCCGGCCCGGCCCCCAGCCCACGGGGTCCCCTGCCACGGCGCCCCGGAGCCTGCCTCTCCCACAGGTGAGGCCCTGGGTGCTGGGGTGGGGTCAGGAGGGTTCCAGTCCCGAGACTCACCCCTCATGTTCTCCCTGCAGCCACCATGGTGCCCCTGCTGGCTGGGGCTGTGGCTATGCTGGCGGCGCTCTGTGCGGGGCTGGGGCTGCTGGCCTGGAGACCCGGCTGCCTGCGGGCCTGGGGAGACCCCGTGTGAGCCGCGAAACTGGGCACCCCTCCCCACTGCTGACTCTGGACCCCAACATGTGTGCTCACCCACTGTACCAGCTTGTGACTTCCTGTGTGCGCCTGTATGTGTGTGTGTGTGTGTGTGGGGGGTGTGGATGGACACACAGGGCCCCTAGCCCGTTAAGTCACAAGTGGTTGTGGGCACGCACATGTACATGGCTTGTGCACATGCATGCAGTTCATGCACAGATGTCTGGATGGTTCTGCACGTGATAGCACATGCCTGCATGTCGACAGGTCCCTACGCACACGTGCAGTCTATATTGGTATGTGAAGGTGTCTCTACACACACGATGGCATGTAGGGAGAAACAAGGCTACATGGACGCCATGTCCAGGAGACAAGTGGCACCTCTAGCCCTCTAGGCCCCTGGGGAGGGGGTCAGGCCTGCCTTGTATCTGGAGCTGAGCCCGGCCCCAAGGCTGCCCAGCGCCCAGCCTGAGGCTGCACGACTGGGGAAGCCACTGGCCTCTGTGCTCCCATCTCAGGGCGAGTCGGACGTAGCACCTCTGAAACTCACCTCCCAGGAGGACCCCATGCGGCCATTTAAATAAAATGTCATAGAGTCAGGTCCCAGTCACATCTCAGTGGCTCATGTGCCATACGTGGCTGGTGTGGTGGGCCCAGGACTCAGCACTCATGCTCCTGCGGCCACTGCCCTCCCCACCAGCCAGGCATCAGGCTCAGGTGTGTGAACGCCCCAGATTAGAACACTGGGGGGTGGGGTGTTGGTGTGTGGCAGGCAGCCACTCACCCGGTGCCCACTACATAGGGTAGTCGGAGAATAGAAGTCAATCCCAGCTACCGGGACCCTCCAACCCTCCTGAGGGAAAACGGGGTGCAGAACCCCCTGGACTATGACAGGAGAAAGCTGGGGCTACCAACAGAGCCTGGCCCAGGCCTACCCAATGCCCAGCATTGTGGGCAGGGGTCTGATCGTGCCCTGGGCTCAGGCGCAGTCACCCATCACACACATCGCTGATGCTGGACGGGCCTTAGAAGCGGGACAGCCACACCCAGAATCCCCTGCACTGGGTCCTGGGAGGGACCAGCTCCTTCTCACTCAGGGAAGGCCCACCTGAATCCCCGGGTTTCCCTGCCCTGCTGCAGGGGCGGCTCCCACGGACTGGCAGAGCACGGCCCTCTCGGCAGGGCCCATGGAGACAGGCCCGTGCCATGAGGGTGCTGGCAATGCCTTGGCATGGGGGCCACACCCAGCACCACAGTTCATGGCAGCGATGTGCACCATGTAAGCCCTCAACCCACCCCCACCCCCACCCCCACCCCCACCCCCAGCGGGATTCCTGGTGCTAACACTGAACCCGGACACTGGACAGAAACCACACATGCAGCTGGACACGAAGACTGGAAATCCCTTCTCCCGGCGAGCAAACAGCAAGCTGGCTTCAGAAGGGAAAGGAGTTACAAACAAAAGTCCTAAGAGAAAAACCAAGACAAATGAGTGTGCTTAGAACTGAAGTGCTGTATATGCTTAAGTATTTAAAAAAAATATATATATTGATTTTTTTTTTTTTACAGAGGAAGGGAGAGCTTGACACATCAATGAGAAACACTGATCAGCTGCCTCCTGCACAGCCCCACTGGGGATGTGCCCGCAACCAAGGTACATGCCCTTGACTGGAATTGAACCTGGGACCTTTCGGTCCGTAGACCGATTGTCTATCCACTGAGCTGAAATGGTTTCAGCTATTCTTAAGTATTGAGCGAAAACAATGCATTAACAAATAAAAACAGTACAAGCCATGTGGTAGGCCATGGGGTCTCCCCGCTGGGCTTATAGTGCTTTGGGGGCCTGAGGGGGGCCCACCCACATGCCATTTCGGCTGGAATGTAAGAGACCTGCTGGGTTCTCTATGGAACCACTGTGCCCAGGTAGCTAGCTCTCCTCCACCAGCTCTGGCCAGGGACACCCATGAGGTAGTGAGGAGCAAGGACACCTTCTTCTTCTGGGCTCCTCAAAACCTAGGTGAGGGTGGTCTGCCCATAAAAAAACTCAAGAACAGCCTTAGCCAGCATGGCTCAGTGGATAGAGCATTGGCCTGCAGACTGAAGGGTCCCCGGTTTGATTCTGATCAAGGGCACATGCCCGACTTGCAGGCTCCATCTCCAATAGAGGGTGTGCAGGAGGCAGCCGATCAGTGATTCTCATCATTGATGTTTCTCTCCCTCTCTTAAATCTATATACATACGTACATACATACATCTTAAACACAGAACAGATGGGCGGTCCCTCAGGGGACTTTACATCTCCCCAAACCAGCTCCCTGAGCTCTGGAAATTAGAGCTCAGTCCCACAGGCTTGGATGCAGTAAGGGTGACGTGACGTCCCAGAAAGAACTTGGTGGACTCCCCAGACACACGTGGCTCAGAGGCAGGTGCTCCTTGACCTGATCTCTTCTGGATCTCCACCAGCGCCTCCAGCACCGTCATGTCATTGCCTGGCAGGTCGGCCAGCTGCAGCCAAAACTGGGGGTTGCTGGCCAGTGCCATTAGGCGCTGATACATGTCCCTTGTGAAGGGCATATCCTCGGGCGCAGGACATGGAGCCTGCTCAAACGCAGGCTCATGGTAGATCCACTGCAGCATGCCCAGCTGGCGCGCCAGCGGCATAGCCTGCTCCATGGAGAACCAGGTCCCGAAGGGGTCCTTGAAGTGCAGGAAGGATGGCCAGCGCTGGCGCCAGGCCTTCAGCAGCCAGGCGAGCAGTGCCGTGGGCCCGATCCACTGCCGATCCCTGCAGAGGCAGTTGAAGATGGCGTCGTGGGTCAGGTTGCCCAGGAGTGCCAGCTCCCGGAAACTCAGAACCAGGACCATGCCGCCTTGGTCATACACCCGCAGAATCCAGGCCACCATGTGCTCTTGCGGCCCCTGCCTGAAGTGCTGTGCAATGGCCAGGAGCTCGGTGTACGTGTAGTGGTGGTGCGCCTGCCCCTTCGTGCTCTCGGCCATGGTCACAGCTGCCCTGGAGGGAAACAGCAGGAAGCCTGAAGGGTGGGTGCTTGTACAGGAGCCGCAGGCAGAGACACGGGGGCACCAGGCGTGGGAAACTAGTTACAGCCCACCACACCTCCCTGGAGTTGGGGCCCCTCAGACCCCTGGGTGTCAAAGGTCCCAGGGGGCACAGAGTCCTCAGGAGAGGTCAGAGCCCAGTGCTGGACATCACGGGGGCCCCAAGCACAGCCCCTCCCATATAAACCTCCCCGTACCCAGTGGCAACACCGTGAAGATTCAACCAAGTGAGAAGCATGCCCGGCTCGGCTAACTGCTCAGCCTCTGCCTTGACCTTAGCATAATTCACACATTCTATGAATGAGGGAACCTCTTCTGTTCTTACCTAGAGGAATGGCGCTTCAATCCACGGAAGAAACACCTGCAGGAAGGAGTGGGGGAGGGGAGGTCAGCGGGGCACAGGGCAACCATAGGCCCCCATCCACACCTCCCAAGAGCCAGGGCCCCTCAGACCCCCAGGTGTCAAAGGTCCTGGGGGGCACCGTGTCTTCAAGGGAAGTCAGAGCCCAGTGCTGGACATCATAGGGGCCCCAAGGCTCCCCCCCCCCCCGCCACCCCGTGTTTCTATCTAATCCCAACTGCTCCTGCACCTACCTCCTTACTCATCTCTGCACAGTGGTGGTCACGTGATTCAGGGTGGCTTGACAGTTTGGGAACTGCCCTCCCTGGGAACCCTCAGCTGTAAGGCCAGGCCACAGCACCCACATAGGAACCTCCACTTCAGCCAGGCAGACAAGTCACAAATGACCCCTCAGGTCAATGTGGCATTAGTGGGGATCAAAACCAATCTGTTTAGCCCTAGCAGGCTTAGCTCAGTGGTTAGTGTTGGCCCATGGACTGAAGAGTCCAAGATGTGATTCCGGTCAAGGGCATGTACCTCAGTTCCAGGCTCAATCTCCAGTCCTGGTCAGGGAGGCACCCTCTTCCTCTCCCTAAAAAACAAAAACAAAAACAAAAGCTAACCTCCTTGGTTCTGCCGCCTTTGCTGCAGGGAAGAGGGAACAGAGAGCACCCGGTGTGCACGGAGGTTGCAGAAATAAGGCGGGGAAAGCAGAGTCTCTGTACATGCAGGTCCTCAGCTGTGGGACCCAAACAAACCACCCAGCTCACCGGGCTCCCACATTAGAACCCCACCACAATCTAGGTCTTACTAACTAGAAATCTGTAACATTAGAAATGGAACACGGTTATTATGGAGTTAGAAGATACTTCTGTCCTTACCAAGAAGGATGGGGGCTGGGGGGCTGTTGACTCCTGGAGGAACAACCTGCAGGAAGGAGCAGGGAGGGGAAGCAGTCAGTGGGGTGCAGAGCAACCACAGTCCCCCATGCATCCCTCCCCAGAGCCAGGGTCCCTCAGACCCCGGGGTGTCAAAGATCCTGGGGGGCACCATGTCCTCAGGGGAGATCAGAGCCCAGTGCTGGACATCACAGGGACCCTAGTCCCCCTCTTCATCCAGGCCCCAGAGCCACTTAGCAGCAGTCCTAAGGGGACAACACAGATATGAACTCAAAGATCCAGGCAGGCCGAAACCTGCTTGGCTCAGTGGATAGAGCGTCGGCTTGGGGACTGAAAGGTCCCGGATTCGATTCCGGTCAAGGGCACGTACCTTGGTTGCGGGCACATCCCCAGTAGGGGGTGTGCAAGAGGCGGGTGATCGATGACTCTCTCATCGATGTTTCTAGCTCTCTCTCCCTTCCTCTCTGTACAAAATCAATAAAATATATTTTAAAAAATATATATAAAATCAAAAAATCTGTAAAATAACATCCAAAGAAATATATATATATACTTTAATACATTTTATTAATTTTCCACAGAGAGGAAGGAAGAGGGATAGAGAGTGAGAAACGTCGATGAGAGAGAAACAACGATTAGCTGCCTCCTGCACACCCCCCACTGGGGATGTGCCCGCAACCAAGGCGCATGCCCTTGACCGGAATCGAACCCGGGACCTTTCAGTCCGCAGGCCGACGCTCTATCCACTGAGCCACACCGGTTTCGGCTGTCCCATCTTTCTAGTAATTAGTGGACACCATCCCAGTAGAACTTTTCTTGTTTTGAGGCAGACCATTCAGAGGAAGATGGGACAACAAGGCGGAGGCCCGGGCAGCGCGCCGCCGAGAAGGCGGAACAGAAAAGGCGGAACAGGCCCAGCCGCCCCGCTGCGAGCGTCCCCCCTCCCCCCCCCACTCGCTCCAGACGCCCCAGCTCACCCCGCGGGGCGAAGGCCGTGACCCCACACCACGCGACAACGCCGCCATCCCGCCACAGCCCCGGCCCCCGACACGCACGCGGGGCCCGGACCCCCAAAGCCCCGCCGCGCAGACGGAACGAAACCAAAGAACGAGGAAGAACTCACCCAACTCGAACTTCCTCCTCTGGGAACGTGGCTGGCCTCGCGTCCCACTTTATAGAGCGCGCTGCCCGCTCGCAAGGACCCCCCTCTTCCCCCAGCGGCCAGTCTGGGCTCCGCCCCGAGGCGTCCAGTATTGGCGCCGGTGCCAGAAACCCCGCTTCGGTGCTTGGGGAAGGGACACAGTGTCTGTTTCAGGTAGAATCTTTCAGAACGGGACATACTACGTTGCCCCTGTAAGGCAGAGAATAAAAACCAAGGAAATACCGCCGCCTGTTATCCAGTCATGAGCGTCAGGCAATTCTGTGGACGGCCCCAAAGAAGGAGAGAGCAGGGCGAAGGACCCCGAATTGGGGGCGGGGCCGGGGCCGGGAAGGGGAAATTGGCAATGCCTGAGCCACAGCCCTTGGCGGAAGGGGCGGGGCCGACTCACCTCTCATCCCAGCGGCAGAGTAGGGGGCGGGGCCAGAGCTGAGATGGACAGTGGGGAGTTGTGGGAGAGCGAGCGCTCACGTGGCGTGGAGTTAGAGGCTTAGCGTGGACTCCGGGACTGGAGGACTGGACTCTGGTTCGGGGCCGGGAGAGGGGTGGGGGGTTGGGGGTGGGGGTGATGGTGGTGGCTGGGGTCCTGGACTTCCGGATCCGAGAGAGGAGGGGCTTGGAGGCCTGGACTTCCGGGTTCGAAGGAGGAAGGGCTTAGAGGCCTGGACTTCCGGGTCCGAGGGAGGAGGGGCTGGGGACTGGACTGGCTCTGAGGCAGGACCGGATTTGGGGCTCATTTCCTGGTTTTTATTTTTTATTTATTTTTTACTTTTTTCATTAAGGTATTATATGTGTACATATCTTACCATTTCCCGGTTTTCAGGTCGCCAAAGACCTGGGGGCTGGGTTTCATGGTAGGGTTGGCGATCTAAGGCGTGTCTGCCAACAGACATGAATGTAAAACTTTTTTTTTTTCCCCAAAGATGAAAAAGGTTTGGCTCAGTGGATAGAGCGTCCGCCCGCGGACTGAAGAGTCCGAGGTTCGATTCCGGTCAAGGGCATGTACCTTAGTTGCAGGCACATCCCCAATTGGGAGTGTGCAGCATTGAAATTTCTAGCTCTCTATCCCTCTCCCTTCCTCTCTGTGGAAAAAAAAAAAAAAAAAAAAAAAAAAAAAAAAATATATATATATATATATATATATATATATATATAATTAAAATAAATAAAAAGATGAAAAAGGAAACTTTTTTATATCAACCCACACACAGGAGGTCGCCGTTGTCCACAATTTGGTGTGGACTCTATGGCCACACACACACACACACACACACACACACACACACACACGTACTCCCTGTGTGAACAGAACACATGTTGTTTAGCTGGTTCCCCTTGTCATTTTTTTTTTTCTTCCTTCTCGTGGGGAGATTCCTCCCTGTGAGGTCTATGGTCGGAAGTGCAAGGGAGAGCTGCGAACTTCTCTCTCAGGAAAACGAGGCATTTCCTAGGCGGACCACATGCAGCGTGAAGCCAAGTCCGCTGTGGCCGCCTTCTCCCTCCTCTCCCTTACCCCTGGCCCTCTTAGGATCTGCCAAGCACAGTTGTACCCCAGGACCTTTGCATTTGTTATGCCCTCTGCTTGGAACTCTTTCCCCCAATCTAACCCCATTGTGCGCGCTCTCTCTCTCTCTCAAAATATATTTTATTTCTTTTTACAGAGAGGAATGGAGAGTTAGAAACATTGATGAGAGAGAAACATTGATCAGCTGCCTCCTGCACACCTACTGTGGGGATGTGCCCACAACCAAGGGACATGCCCCTGACCAGAATCGAACCTGGGACCCTTTGGTCCACAGGCTGACGCTCTATCCACTGAGCCAAATCGGCTAGGGCTCTCTTCCTCTCTTGAGCCATGATTCTACTCAGGTGTCACCTTAGCATAGAATCTCCTTTCCCCCCACCCCAAACCTCCTTCCCTCTGTCTAACAGACAGGTCTCCCTTACACTCCTTTATTTCCCTTCATAGCACGGATCCCCTAACAGACCGAACGCTTTGTTTGTGGTCATATTACTTTGCCTCCCAGCTGAAATGTCAGTTCCATAAAGACAAGGATTTGTGACCAATTTGATCACTGCTGTAGACTCAGTGTCTGGCACATAGTTAAAAATCAATCTGTAAAAAAAAAAAAAAAAAAAAGAACAAGTTTGACTTCTGGCCAGGTAGCTCAGTTGTTCGGAGCATTGTTCTGTACACCAAAAAGTTGCAGGTTCAATCCCTGGTCAGGGCACATACAAGAAGCAACCAATGAATGCATACATAAGTGGAATAATAAATCTCTCTCTCCCCCTCCCTTCTTCCCTCCCTCCTTCCTTTCCTCTCTCTCAAATCAATAAATAAAAGTATTATTGAAAAAATTTGAAAGCTTGGGGAGAATCAGCTATTCAATAAACAGTGATTGCCGAAACCGGTTTGGCTCAGTGGACAGAGCGTTGGTCTGAAGGTTCGATTCTGGTCAAGGGCATGTACGTTGGTTGCCGGCACATCTCCAGTGGGGGGTGTGCAGGAGGTGGCTGGTTGATGTTTCTCTCTCATTGATGT